ACACTACCCTTTTAATGGTAGAGATCATGTACAACAAAGGGTAGCTTGGCCGGGAGTTCTTCTATTTGAGTCTTTGTTAGTTCCATTATGTTCCTTGTGCTTCAATTTTGTAAAAATAAACGAGGTAAGATGGCATTGGTACGTTCGCATCACCTATCCCTGGCCCTCTATTTTGGGCTTTTCCTTTCCATGCCCCCCCTAGAGTTTGTAGTTTTTTTAGTCTCGACCACAAAAACCAATGTGCATACTAGTAACTTGTAATCCTTCTGTTCTACAGTATATTAAATTATCATTAATTTAGTATAGCTTTGTTCCGTGAGGGAGTCCCGTGTCACCATATTTGTTCTCTGTGTGGAAGGATTTACATCTCTTTTGAATCTATACGGGGGTGCACCATAAGCGATCAATTGCAGTCTTCGACCTCGGCAAATGTGGCGCCTCAGCATTTCTCTCCTTTTATTTGCCATCGATACCAATCGTAAGATTTTTAATATATGTAGTTGAGTTCTCTCTGTCTTCTAAAACCAACGAGTAGTCCATTAAAGTATTACTAGGAGCCAACACATATAACCTGCTAATCTTCTCTGGTGATTCCATTAATTCACCTCTTGTTTATTGTTTGCATCTCTCCCCCTCCTCAAATCATCCCTTGGCCTTCTACAAATCTGCACATACAAATTCACCTATTTGTTGCCCCAATGGTTGTCGCTGCATCGGATCTCGCAGAGCCCCCACCATCGTTGGACTGAGATTATGATTGCATGATGTATTGCTCTTTGTGCATAGGCACATATATATGATGTACAAAGATGGGCCACGAACCTCAACTATACAAGGAACTAGGAGGCGGGCCCAATACACAATATGCACATAACACATATACTCAACCCCCCCCCCCCCAGTCGAAGCGGCACCGCGGCTGACGCAAAGACTGGACCGGAACTCCTCAAACGACGCCGTAGGCAAGCCCTTGGTCATGATATCGGCAAATTGTTGGGAAGTAGGGACGTGTAAAACACGAATATGGCCAAGGGCCACCTGTTCCCGAACAAAATGAATATCCAACTCAATATGCTTGGTCCGTCGATGATGCACCGGGTTAGCGGAGAGGTAGACCGCCGAGACGTCGCAGTAGACCACCGTGGCACGGGCAAGAGAGCTCCTGAAGCAGCTGGCGAAGCCACGAACACTCGACAACGGCGTTGGCCACTGCACGATACTCAGCCTCAGCACTAGAGCGAGAGACGTAGGCTGCCGCTTGGACGGCCACGAGATAAGTGAGGGTCCAAGGTAGACACAATAGCCCGAAGTGGAGTGACAAGTGTCAGGGCAGCCCGCCCAGTCTGCATCGGAGTAGGCGGTGAGGGCGGTGTCGGTGGAGGCGTGAAGCGTGATGCCAAGATCCATAGTGCCACAGATATAGCGGAGAATCCGCTTGATGGCGGCCCAATGAACGTCTCGAGGAGCATGCATATGAAGACACACCTGCTGCACGACATACTGGATCTCCGGTCGAGTTAGAGTGAGGTACTGGTGAGCACCAACAATAGACCGATAGAAAGCAGCATCCGAAGTAGGAGAACCATCCGTGGCAGAAAGCTTAGCCTTCGTATCAACATGCGTAGCGGCGGGCTTGCAGTTAATCATGCCGTCGCGCTCTAGGAGCTCGTGAGCCTACTTCCGCTGATGAAGAAAGAAGCCATCTAGACGACACACCACCTCGACACCGAGGAAGTAGTGCTAAGGACCCAAGTCCTTGATGGCGAACTCAGCGGAAGACGAGCCGTGAGCTGACTGAGGAGACCAGCCATACATGCCATCACGATGATGTCGTCGACATATAGCAGCAAGTAGGCCGTGTCAGAGCCCTGATGATAGACAAAGAGCTAGGCATCCGAGCAGGTAGAGCGGAACCCAAGCTGGTGGAGAAACGCCGCGATGCGCTGGTACCAAGCACGCGAAGCCTGCTTGAGTCCGTACAAGGACCGCGAAAGCAGGCACACGTGGTCGGGAAGCGCCGGGTCAACAAACCCGGTGGGCTGCTAGCAGAAGACCTGCTCCTCGAGGTAACCATGGAGGACAGCGTTGGAGACGTCCATCTGGTGCATCGGCCAAGCATGAGAGACCGCAAGGTGGAGAACCGTGTGTATCGTGCCGGGCTTGACGACCAGAGCGAAGGTGTCGCTGAAGTCGATGCTGGCACGCTGTCGGAAGCCACGAATGACTCAGGACGGAGCTTGTGTTTAAAGACGCAGTTCCTGGTAATCACGTTGGCGTGCCAGGGACGGGGAACAAGCTGCCACGTCCGGTTGTGCAACACGACGTCAAATTCCTCTTGCATCGCAGCCATCCAGAGCGGGTCACGAAGAGCGGCTCGAACGGAGGACGGCAACGACGACGGCTCAGAGGTGGACGCCGCACAGACATAGTCATCCGAGGCATAGCATGAGCTCCGGCAAAAAATGTCCGTTCGGGCACGGGTGACCGGACCGGCCACAGGGCCGAGGGGGGGCGCGGGATCTAGGGGGCCGGAGGCACCGATGGGGCTGCGGGCACCGGGGGCGCGCGGTGGGGGTAGGGGGCAAAGGGGTCGTGGGCGCCAACGCCGGGGGCGCTAGTGCCGCGGCGGTAGGAGCCACCGCATGCGGGGGGCGTGCCTCAAAGCCAGGGGCGGGACAAGAGAGGCGCGCGAGCGTCCTGGGAGAGGCGTCGAGGAGCCCGCGTCACCGGTGGCGCGAGGAACAGCCGGGGGTACCTGCTGTCGGATTATGGGTTCCAGCAAACCCTTTAGGTTTGAACACTATGGTGCGCACGAAGATCTCTCTCTCTCTCTCTCTCTCTCTCCCTCTCACTCTCACAACGATCTCCAGGCCTAGCTCGCCGAACCCAAGGAACAAGTGACACGAAAGTTTATACTGGTTCAGGCCACCGTTGTGGTGTAATACCCTACTCCAGTGTGGTGTGGTGGATTGCGTCGTGGGCTGAGGATGAACTAGTACAGTGGACGAACAACCTCCTGAGGGGAGGTGTTCTTGAGCTCGATGAGCTAGTGAGATGGCGTTGGTGGAATGGATCCGATCCAAGATGAGCCAATCCTTGACTACGGTGGTGGCTAGCCCTATTTATAAAGGCACTGGTCCTCTTCCCAAATGTTTAGGCGGGAAGGGATCCCATAATGGCCAATTTCAAAGGGAGACAACTAGTACAAGTTATCCTGACAAAAGGTGGTCTTCGCCTCCCAAAGGCTCTGTGGTGACGCCGCCGTGGGCTCCACGGTGACCTCCGTCCTACCGTCCTGCTGGTCTTGGTCTTGTTGCATCGATATGGAAACATTTGCCTGATGCCTCGGGACTCCTCGCCTGCGCCTGCTTCCTTAGCACCAAAGAGGAAACTGGCACTCTGCGCCCGCTGGCGCCCGCCTGGCCTTGGTCGTCATGGCTCACGTCACGCGGACCTCGCGAGGTGCACCTTGCATAGATATCTCCGCTCCTGAGGAGCCTGCCTAGCGAGGCCGCCCCGGAGGAGGCCTTAGTGTTGTACGCCTCGCGAGGCTTGGCCCCTCGTGAGGGTCTTGAGTGGCTGCTGGTGAAGATGGGCCGTACCAGGCCGTTGGTGGAGCCCGCCCTGGGCCGCACGCAGGCAAGTCTGGGTACCCTCGTTCCCAGGACACCGACAGTAGCCCCCGGGCCCAAGGCGCGCTCGGGCTTGGTTTCGAGGCGAAGCCAAAGGGCAAGTGCGGAGCGCCGTGGGCCCCAACCACCTGTGGCCTCGATTGACGTGTGGTGATTGATAGGTTGTGGGCGTCTCCGCTTCCCCACGCTGCCTCGGCAACTGCCTGACTTGACGAGACCCTGCTGCATGCAGAACAAAATCATCATTACCTTAGATCATGGAGGCCGGCGGTTGGCCTCCCTCTGGCTATAAATGAGGAAGGGGCGGAGCCCCCGTTGCTCATTTCTTCCTCCGTTTCGCTCGCTTCTTCTTCCTCCTCCTTGTTGCGACACCCATGGCGCCGATACAAAAGTTCTCTGCCACTGAGAAGGGAGAAAATACCTGCGAAGAGCTTGGGCCACTCCCACTGAAGAAGAGGCCGGTTCGCTCCCATAACATCGTTGTGAGGCCGGAGGTGACGAGGCCTTGGTACGAGCGGCCTCCCCCCGGCTACCCATTGCCCTTGTACACTCAGGCAGAAGGCTTCGGAGGAGGAGGCAACGACCGACGCCTCTTGCGCCATGGCCGCGATGGCCGTGCAGTGGTGTCGTGCGCCGCCACCCCGCGAACACACGCCGAGGGCTCCTTGCGAGAACTCGTGGTGTGGCTGGCGATGCCACCACGCACGTGGATCCGATTCCCGCCGTTCTTTGCCGAAGTGATGCCGCCAAGGGGACCGCTTGAGTTGTGGCTGCAACATGCCGAGTGCGGTACCCCGGCGATGGGAGCAAAGGTTGAGACTGTGTCCCAGGGCGAGATCTTCATGACCCGTGGATGGGGCGAGATCGCCCGCGCGTGCCGCACGGAGGGGGCCCTCGCCATCCATTTTGAGTACGACGACGC